GACCCCGAGGACGGCGACGCGGTGGCCACGGCGCTGCGGGAGACGCGCGAGGAGCTGGGCCTGGCTCTGGGCGCCGAGCGCGTCTGGGGCCTCCTGCGCACCGTGCCCGACCGGGTAACGGCGCACGGGCGGGCGGGATACAGGCGCTGGGGACACGGGGACGCTGCCTGCACATGGTGTCTGGGGACATGGGGTATCTGGGACAAGCTGACAGGGACGTGGGTGGGGACTCTGGGGCATGGGCCGCCTGGGATAGGGAGAGAGGCGGGAGGCACCGTCATGACAGGGRTATGGGGTGTCTGGGACAAGGTGACAGGGACACAGGCAGGGGCACAGGGGTGATAGGGATATGGAGTGTCTGGGGACAAAGTGACAGGAACACCATGGGCACAAGGTAACTGGGGATGGAGTGACTGGGACATGGGGTGTCTGGGAGAAGGGGACAGGGATACAGGCAGGGTTATCTAGGGATAAGGTGACAGGGACACCACAGACTTGGGGTGTCTAAGGATGAGGTGACAAGGTCACAAGCTGTCTGTGGATGGGGTGACAGGGACATGGGGTGTGTGGGGATAAGGCAAAAGGGACACCGTGGACATGAGGTGCCCTTTTGAGGATGGGGTGGCAAGGACATGGGGCACAGGGAAATAGACGGGAGTTGCCTTGGGACATGGGGTAGCAGGAACATGGGGTGTCTGTGGCTGGGGTGACAGGAACACAGGATATGGGTGCCGGGACAACAGGGACCTGAGGAACTGGGGAAAAAGTAGCAGGGTCAGGGGGCACAGGTTTGTCTGGGGACAGGGATGAGGTGACAGGGACCTGGCTGATGGATGTCCAGGGATGGGGTGCAGGTGACAAGGACGTGGGTGTTGAGGATGAGGTGTGGGTGACGGGGACGGGGGAGGGGGGGAGATGGGAGCGTCAAGGACTAGGGTGCAGGGTTACAGGGGATGGGGCACAGGGGACCTGGTGCTGGTACCAGACAGGTGTAGGAGGTCCACTAGCTGGCAGAGTGGCATCTCAGGGACAGGGTTTGGCACTCCACGTCATTGTTGCTGTCCCATTGCACTTCCTTCCAGAGGGGAATGATGGTGGCTCCTGTCGTTGCGAACCTGGGACCCTTGGAGGATGTGACTCTTACGCCCAACCCCCAAGAGGTGGGTGACACCACAGCGGCCCTCGTGACTCAGCTTGCTCAGGGCTCTCCTTGACATTGCCCAGGCACACGTGCATTGTGCCACAACCCATCCCAGCCCCTGGTGGCACCATACGCAACCTTGGGGCCGTGTCTCCGTGCCCAGGTTGAGGAGGTCTTCACCATCCCCCTGGATCACCTGCTACAGCCAGAGAACCAGGGCTACACCCACTTCCGCGCCAAGGGCCGCTACAGCCACACGCTGCCCGTCTTCCTCCACGGGCCCTACAGGGTGTGGGGACTCACGGCCATCATCACTGAGCTGACACTGGAGCTGCTGGCGCCCAACCTCTACCGCTGCAAGACCCGGGTGGCCGGGAACCGCTGAGCCCCTCCTGCTGTTAGCAGGGAGCGTTTGGTCCCCACACTCCTTTCGGGAGGCAGAGGGAGGGGACGGAGAYGGCTGCTGTGGTGGCGGCTGCCCAGTGACAGTCAAAGCCCCCGCAGGCCTGTCATGTGGGCCAGTGGCTGGTGGCTCATGCAGAGCCTCTACAGACCTTCTTCGGGGCCTTGTCTGTGCTGTTGTTTTATTCCTCCAAGCCCTTTGGGGGCCTTTAGGTCATGCTGGCCACACACTCCTGATAGGCAGGAGGCTGCTGCTGAGAAACCGGGGCTCCGCTGTCCCACATCCATGGTGCTGCCAACCTTTCCCATGGGGTCCAAGTGGCCCTGTGCCTACTGTTGATGTCACATCTTGAGATTTAGCAAAGTAAAGTGCAATGYTTTAAAGCACTCGCCTCTCAGCCTCCAAATCTTGAAGCGTGGGGGCTTCGGTGCAAGCACTGGGGAGGAGCAGCGAGCTCAGCTCTCAGACCAAGGTGGGGGCAGGGGGTCTCTTCCATCATTAGTATGGGGAGATCAACCCTGGTGTGACACACAAAAGGACACTTGCTTGTGTCAGAGACTCAAGGGGAAACACGGAGCCACGCAATAGTTTCTTTTGAAAGACTTTCAGCCAGCCCTGCTGCTCGTTACTGCGCCACGACGCATGCCCAGAGTCATGAGACTCTCACCTCCTTGTAACTTTACCCTTTGCTTCACTTTTGAATCCTGATTTTGTTTTTTAATRGTTTCCTCTTTCATGTACCCACTAGAACAGTGCAGGGGTCTAGACCACCCTGGGGTTGTCCTACTCCAAGTGGAGGCCACAGCAAGAGCCCTCCAGCCATCCCTTCCCACCACTGCTGCCAGAATTTTACAACTCCAGCCGATATCCACAGAGAGGGAGGTCAGGGATGTTTATTGGGGAACCTGCCAGCACCGGAGTAGGGTCCTACTGCCCCCTGAACGGCTGCAGAGAGCCCCTCACACGTAACAAATGCCCCCCAGCAGCAAAAGGCAGGGCTGCAGGTGCCAGTGGCCCTGTGTGGACTCCTCTCAGTCCAGCTTGTCCTCAAGCTGATGCTGCTTGCGCTTTGGCCTCCTCATAGCGTCGCATCCTCTCCTCCAGCTCCGGGCGGAAGTGACGGATGAGGCCCTGCATGGAGCCAACAAGCAGGAGGCGTCAAGCAGGGTGACCGACACCATCCCCTTGYGCGTGTTCTGCCGTCGCTGCCCGCACCCTACCTGCACGGGCCAGGCAGCGCCATCGCCCAGCGCACAGATGGTGTGGCCCTCAATCTGCTTGCTGATCTCCCAGAGTGCGTCGATCTCCCCTACCTGCGCGTTGCCCTGCACGAACCGGGCCATGACTTTGTTCATCCAGTCAACACCTGCAGGGAGAGAYGAGCTGCAGGCACCCCGCGTCCGCTGCCCTAGCGGCCCCTGCCGCCCAGCGCGGCCCCATCCTCACCTTCCCGGCATGGGGTGCACTGCCCACAGCTCTCGTGCTTGTAGAACTCAATGAGGCGGGCAATGGCTTTGACGATGTCGGTCTAGAGGAGCAAGGAGGAGATGCTGAGCGCCCTTTACAGCCCTGCCAGGGCACGTGGGAAACGAGGGGGAGGAACTGGCCCTTACCGACTTGTCCATGACAATGACAGCCGCCGTGCCAAGCCCGCTCTGCGCCTGCACCAGGGAATCGAAGTCCATCAGCACAGTCTCACACACTGACTTGGGGAGCAGCGGCGTGGAGGAGCCTCCCGGGATCACGGCCAGCAGGTTGTCCCAACCCCCGCGGACACCCCCTGGCAGAGAAGTGGACAGGCTGAGGCGAGCCGTGAGCCGGCACYGTGCCCTTCCATGTGTACTCACAGCCAACTGTACCTGCGTGCTTTTCGATAAGCTCCTTCAGGGGCACTGACATCTCCTCCTCCACCGTGCATGGGTTGTTGACGTGGCCGGAGATGTTGAAGAGCTTCGTGCCGGAATTGCGTTCACGCCCGAAGCTGGCAAACCAGGCCCCTCCGCGCCGACAGATGGTGGGGGACACGGCCACCGTCTCCACGTTGGCCACCGTGGTGGGACACCCAAACACACCTGGAAGCAGCAGGAGCTCACAAAGGCTGCATCTGTTCGGAGGGCATCAGCTGTCCCGTTCCTGCTGCAGCAGAGACTCAAGGAGTGGGACAACAGCCCTTCTTGGCCATGGTCATGGTCATTTCCTCCCACCCCTTTGCTCTCAACTGGCACTATTTCCCTTGGGATGGGTTTGTGGTGCTGAGGGCTGTGAGAGGCCTCCATGGTGCCACGGGAGCAAGGAGAAACGTCTCCCAGGGCCCGGAGAGCGGGGCTGACGACATACCCACATCAGCAGGGAAGGGTGGCTTCAGGCGCGGCTTGCCCTGCTTGCCCTCAATGGATTCAATGAGGGCCGTCTCCTCGCCGCAGATGTAGGCCCCGGCGCCCCGCACCACGAAAATATCGAACGCGTAGCCCGAGCCGCAGGCGTCCTTCCCCAGCAGACCAGCCTCGTAGGCCTCTCTGATGGCCACCTGCGGACAGGGCRGTCAACGGGTGCTGGTCACACTGGCGGTCACCCCGCCCTGGCCGCCAGCGCTCACCTGCAGGTTGGAGGCCTCATTGTAGAACTCTCCTCGGATGTAGATATAGGCAGCCCGGGCGCCCATGGCGCGACCAGCCACCAGGCAGCCCTCCAACAGCTTGTGCGGGTCGTGCCGCATGATCTCGCGGTCCTTGCAAGTGCCTGGCTCGCCCTCGTCCGCGTTCACCACCAGGTACTTGGGCCTGCCAGGGGCGACGCTGTCACGTGCGTGTGCTCTGCCTGGGCTTCCCCCATGGACTGGGGGTGACCCACAGAATCACAGAATCTCAGAACGGTTAAGGTTGGAAGGGACCTCTAGAAATCATCTAGTCCAACCTTCCTACTCAAGCAGGCACCCCTAGAGGATGTGGCACAGGGTGGCATCCAGGTGGGTTTTTGAAGACCTCCAGAGAAGGAGACTCCACAAGTTCCCTGGGCAGCCTGTTCCAGGGCTCTGTCACCCTTGCAGTAAAGAAGTTCTTCCTCACATGGAGATGGAACTTCCTGTGTTGCAGCTTGTACGTATTACCCCTTGTCCTGTCACTGGCCACCACTGAGAAGAGCATGGCCCCCTCCTCCCTATATTCCCCCTTCATGTATTTGTACATGTTAATCAGATCCCTTCTCAGCCACCTCTTCCCCAGAGAAAACAGGCCCAACTTACTCCACCTCTCCTCATACGAGAGATGTTCCAGTCCCTTAATCATCTTAGCTGCCCTCTGCTRGAYCCCCTCTAGAAGCTCCACGTCCCTCTTATACTGGGGAGCTCAGAACTGCACGCAATGCTCTAGGTGCATCTGGCCTCACCTGCCGTCGGGCGGCTTGTTCATGAAACTCCACTTGAGGCCGGTGGGGAAGCCAGCGCCGCCACGGCCCCGCAGCCCCGACACCTTGACCTCATTGAGGATCCAGTCGACACCCTTGAGCAGGATCTCCTTGGTCTTGTACCAGTCGCCGCGGCTCAGGGCACCCCGCAACCTGCGGCCGCAGAGCGCCTGGTCGCAAGGCGGCAACGTGACACACGGCCCCACGACCCCCCCTCGGGGTCGCCCCCTCGGCGCTCACCTCCAGTCGTGGCGCCCGTAGAGGTTGGTGAAGATGCGGTCCTCGTCCCGCAGCGACCCGAACTGCGTCTTCTTGGGCGCCGTCTGCAGGGACACGTCGCCTCAATACCGGCCCCGATGTGTCCCCCCGCTTCCCCCGGCTCCCTCCCGGCCCGGCCCGTGGCGCTCACCGAGAAGGCG